CCCCCCCCCAGGGTGTGGGCCTGGCCGGACCATCCGTGCCGCCTGCCCACAGCGGCAGGACATCCTTGGCGGGGCACCAGCCTGAGCCGAGCGCGCGGCACCAGCACCGGCGCGGACTGAGCGCCCTTGGGGGCCAGCGGAGCCTCCTGCGCCCGCCCCAGACGCGGACGCCCCCCCCCCAGTAGCAGAGGTCGCCCCTTCCGGGCGCCCTGGCCGCAGGACCCCGGCGGGGACAGTGCGGGATGGCGGCGGCTCGGAGCCCGCTCGCTCGGCCCGCGCAGCCCCCGCCCAGGATCGCCGACACCCGAGCCAGACCACCGCGGCCCCCCGCGCGAAGAAGGGGGGCGCGGCGCCCACCGCTCTCAGCCAGCCTTTGGGAACGCCGCGCACCCCAGCCCTCGGGTCCGAACGCCGCGCTGCCCTCGGGACGGGGGGCGCGGCGCCCACCGCCGTGCCTCAGGCCAAGGGCACGCGGTGCGTGAGGTGACGGGGACCTCCCTGCTGGCCCGCGGCCAGCCCTCCACGCATTCTGGGGGCCCCCAAGACTCCCCACTTTGGCCCGCACTGGCCGAGGGCAGAGCGGGGCCTGGGGCTGCCCGGGAGCTGCCCGTCCCGAGCGCCCCCGCCGAGCTGCCCCGGGGGAGCCTGGCATGCGCGGTGGGCGGCGCCAGCAGCTCCTGGGGAGCACGGGGCCCCGGGGGGGCTGCCCAGGGGCCGCCGGCCGCATCCGCCGCATCCCACACACTCCCTGCGGTGCCCACGCACAGAGGCTCTGGTTTCGGGGAGCGGCAGGCCCTGGTCCCTGACCTGCGGTCCGCCTGCCGCGGGGCACCGAGGCCCCCTGCCCGCCCGCGCGCCTCGTCCCCTCGGCCTGGGCTCTGCGGGGTGAAGCGTATCAAGAGGGGTGCAGACGAACCCCCAACTTTGCAGCTGCCTGGCTCCCTTCCTTTGCCCGGGGGGCCCTCGGGGATGCGGCCCTGCCGCTGTCCCCAGGGCCCCCCGAGGGCCACTTCACTGGGGGCGGCTGGGCCTCCGCCGCCCCCTGGGGGCGCG